CCCCCCGCCCCCCCCCACCTCGCTGCACCCTTAGGCAGCAGCAGAGCAGCTCGCCGCGCAGTTTGCCCGCTGGACTGAAAGAAGCGTGAAAGCTGCTGGCTCGACACGCGTGTGGAATTGATCGTCGTGGGTGCACGGTCTGAAATGTCTGACAGGTCCGGGTGAGGAGGTTATTGTCGTCTCGTTGTGTTACGAGATACACAGCACGTGTATTTCTGAAATCACGTACTTCAGAAACGAGGTAACTTGTTAAACCGCAGTGTTACCGCTTAGTTCTGCCCGTGTGACCGTTTATATTAAACGAATTCTCTCCCTTGCTCTCGAGCTGGCCCTTCGTGGACACCGATCACAGCCCTTGCAGTTGGTAGCGAGCGAGCGGCAGAGGCGGAAGGCTGGCTGATGGAGAGCGAGCCGTATCTGTGAATTCACTGGTGAGGGCTGGAATGCCTCGCTTAATCCAAAGTGAAACATCCCGTGTTTGGATATTGGTACATATTTATTCTTCCACCAAAACAGGGCGTTTTCACGCAAAATTTGCCAACGTTTCTGCCTATTTTTTTTTCAGTTTTTCTTACAGAAAGCCAAAATCCATACGCAATTACCGATGTTCTCTCTGCATAGCTGTTTTTACCACGTATCATAGACTCACAGAACGGTTTGGGCTGGAAGGGACCTTAAAGACCACCCAGTTCCACCCCCCTGCCCTGGGCAGGGACACCTACCACCAGACCAGGTCGCTCCCAGCCCCATCCAGCCTGGCCTTGAGCCCTGCCAGGGAGGGGGCAGCCACAGCCTCTCTGGACGATATATACATGTCAGTAGTTATCTTTTTTTACTTATTCTGTCCCTATGAATATAAAAGTTGCAGTCAGGAAAATGCTCTGGTTTAAGCTTTTAAACAGCAGAATTTGACACTGTTTTTTAGGACCCGCAGGGAAATCCATGGAGGTTACCCAAAGTTGCGTCTCCGTAGCCTTCGTGGCTCTTGACAAAGTCTGGCTGAGCAGACGCAGA